GTGTTACTAGTTTTGGTATCTTTTTTATTTATTGGTTTGTTAGACTGTTTCTATTTTTTTATTTTGCTAAATTTTGTTTTTTGCTGGTTTTCAGGTTGTTCCCTTTGAGTTTCCTTTATGGTGTTGCCTCTTTTTTGATTCCTTTTTTGTTTTGTTTCCCGTTGGGTTTTGAGAGTTCCTGGTTTGTTGGGTCATTGTGTTGGTTAAGTGGGTGCTGTTTGATGATGGTGTTCAGTGTGGTGTCTACCTTCTGTAATTCTTTGAACTTCTGTCTGGTAGTATATAATGAAATTTGGAAGGATATGTATGTAATTAAAAGGAATAGGATGAATCACTTTTAGTGTTCTGTGATCGGTGTCCATCAATAAATTCAATATTTAAAAGTTCAGCTGTCCAGACCACTGGCTGTCTGATTAGTAAGTTCCACGAATATTGGGTATAAAGGTAATTGATCATATTGATTGATTTATTGGGTAAATATAATCTTATCCGAACCAACAGTGGTTATTGATCAGAGTGTGACCACTAACTATTTTCTAGTTTTCACCAATTGGTTTGTGTTTTGTTGCCCGTGTAAACCAAGAGTTCACACCGGTGAAATCGATCAAGTAACTTGATTTATTGATCCCATGTAATGGTGATTTTATTGATCCAAATTAATTGAATGGAAAATATTAGTCTGTGGGAGGATGGTGGGTGTGGGTAAATGTGGGTCCGCTTCCTACAGGTGCAGATAGTTTGTGCAAGTGTTATGTTAAATCAGGACACAAGAAATAAAGTGTTCGTTAGAAACTCTTTCAGGTTATTGTCATTGGGGATAACGTTCAAGTCAGCTCGCCCACGCTACTCGCGACCCCCCCCACTTCACTATATGTTTTCCCCACCGCCCCCTGTTTCTTGTGATTTGTGCCCACTCTTACCAGCCGCCCACCACACACACCGCACACACACACGCACACAAACGCACACACACATATAAAAGCTTCTATCAGTCGAGTCGTTTGGAGCTTCAAGCTGTGAGTTCAGTCGTTTATACACTACGACCCCGTTAACACCCGACTGATCAATATCTGCTGATACACACTGATCATAAAGTCAGTCAATATCAGCTGTGTCGGTTTATGCTCAGGCTCCAGGTGGCGCTGCTGAGCCCAGTGCATGCTGGGACATCCTGTGCTCTGTCGGGTGTAAACGGGGTCTCTGAGTTGAAAAAGTCGCGTTGAGCTTCACGTTTGATCCCTGCTGATTATTTTCTGAACCAATCAGTTCTACATTGATTTGATTGGTTCTAATCAATCACTTCCTGCAGAGAGATAATCAATCATTCCACCTCACAGAACTGTAACCAATAATATAAAGTCCTCTTAGCGATCATGTGCTCAGTGCAGTCTGTGGGACTACTGTGTGTGTGAACCAGGATTCTGTTGAAAAGCAGCATCCTCCATTTTGGACTCTGCAGCCAATCAGAGCTCGGCTCGGGCAGGACTGCTTGTGATTGGTCGACGGACGGTGAACTTTTCTTCCTCTCTGATTCTGTTGGAACGAGTTGATCTGCAGTAACCATGACGACCAGCAGTGCATTTAACTGATTGAATTCTGAGTCAGTGAATGCAACACTCGAGACTGCAACAATTAATCAATTAATCAATTTATAAAACACACATTTTTTCATCTGGAGACTTCGAGCTTTCTGACTTTACAAAGTGATCAATCAATGTCAACAGTGACAATAAACTGTTTTTGTAAAAGGACATGTGGGCGAGGAGGTCCCTAAATGCATCGTGGTGCACTGACTGATTGTTTCTCTGCAGTGAGTCAATAATCAATAAATCAATATACAAACTGATTGACGGACAGCTGAAAGCGGTAAAATAAACAGTTCTTTCAGTCGGTCAGTGAACGCCTCAGCTCTTCAAGCAAAGTCTGTGTCCAGTCATACGACAGCGTGGCGTCTCCATGGCGATCAGGAAGTTTGTACAGCAGTCGTTCAGTCCAGGCTCCGCCCCCTCCGGCCCGGACCGCAGTGCTCGCCGTCGTTCGGCAGGTCGACGCCTCCCTGGGCTCCTGAAACACAGCCCGAAGTTTTCATTTCCTGTTTATGAATTTATAAAGCTCAGAATACTGCATTGATTACCCAGAATGCAAGATTGTAAATTATATTTATTATTATTATTATTTATTATTAATAAAACATGTTCATTTACACATAAAGTGGTTATTTCTCTTTGTTCCTGCAGTGGCCAGCAGGGGGAGCTGCTCTCTGCTAACAGGAGTAATAAAACTAATTTACAGTCAGTGTGTGAGTCATTAACTGTTGGATGCAGTCGTACTCAGGTAATCAGACGCAGAGCGCTGCAGATGAGCAGCGTCAGCGCGGGAATTCCACAGAGGGGCGAGACGGCGCCGGCGGAGGACGGTTGGGAGGCGGAGGACGGTTGGGAGGCGGAGTCCTGAGGCTGCGTCTGTTGAGGAGCTTCAGGCTCCCCGACTTTACACTTCTGACTGTAAACACACAAACACAGGACAGACATCAGGACACTGAAACTGCTCTATATTTTATTGAATAATTATTATTCTGATCTGTAATAAAACATACCTAATAAATACATTCTAAGGTTTTATATGAGACATTAAACATTATATTCTCTATACAGAGTCACATGGTCTCTCTCCCTCTGCCTGTGTTGTATCGCAGCCTCTCTGTGGTTTGTTTCCATGTCTCCATACTGGACTCGGGTCAATGAAAAGCTTGGTTGTGGTGTAAAGGAACAGGAAGTGAGACTTACAGCTGTTTCTGCAGGTACTGCTGAGCGGACTCGCAGGCTCTGGTTTGACTCTGAGCCGCCAACATCTGGCTCTCCGCCGCCACCTTCAGACTGAGGCAGGACGTGGTCTGATGGAGGGTCTGGGTCATGTTCTGCTGCAGGGCCTCGATGTGATCTGAACATATGAACACAGTCAGCAGTCAGTTCTGGTTGCTGTGGCGACCCCTGTGGTCACTGTATATATTTATAGAAATAATAAGGAAAGATGCAGTGATTGATTGGTAATCAGTAAGGCTGAAGATGAACAGTGTCAGTCAGTGGGAGGAGCTGCTGGTTCCTCTGGTGTGGTGATGTTGAACGGAGCATAGCAACAGTAACCAGGGGGCGCAGTGTAATCTCACAGAAAGCAGCAGAATATGAACTGGGTTTGGTTGAGAGCTGTAAAAGGAAACTTTGACTCTTATCACTGGTTGTTATTTCAGGAATGAGCCGGGCTGCCAGCTCTCCTGTTTGTACTTGGATCAGATCCTGGATCAGATCCTGGATCAGTGAGGTCACTGCCAAAAGACCTGTCCTGAGTTTTATTCAGGGGAAACAGATAATGTGTTTCATTGGTCTATCCTCATACTAACACTGATCACAGTCCAGCAGAGATCCAGTTACAGTTTATAAAACACGTTCTACATTCAACTACTAATACAAGCTGTTCTCTCAGTCAGTAAACTGATCATCATATTGATCAGTATCAATAACAGCAGGGATCAATAAAGTATTGCTGATTCACTGTGTACTCACTGTACTCACTGTGTACT